GGCCGGTGTAGACAGGCAGCAGATTTTTGTGCAAGAGCGGCCGCTTGGCGCAAGATCGTGCCAGTGTAGACACAGCCAAGGGGAGGGAGGAAGGCAGAGGCAGGGAATCAGCACTGGCTCAGCATGTCTGCATGGTTTGGGGGAAGGCACAGGAAAATTGAGCTTAGCTAATTTGCAGAGTGGGGAGGTCCAGGGAGCTGGGCTGGGCTTGGCTGTGGGGTGAGGGATGTGTGTGTGTGGAGCTCAGAGCTCAGTTTGGCTGCAGGAGGAGGGAGGTGCCGGGAACCGGGGCTAGACTCAAGGGGAGGGAGGGGCAAGGAATTGGCTCTTGCCTCAGCAGTATTGTGGGGCTTGGGGGAGGTGCAGGGAAATGGGGCTCAGCTGTGCTGTGGGGGGCTGCAGGGAACTGGTGCTGCACTCCCGTATATTGTGGGGGATGGTTTTGGGGGGAAGTGCAGGCAACCAGCAGGGGTGAGCAGCTCTGTTGGGTTGCAGGGGATAGAGGTGCAAAGAAGCCTAGTGGGGAAGGGAAGAGGGGAACCAGGAGCCCTGAAATGACCTCCCCTGGTCCAAAAATTCCTCATCTGGGACCAGTCAGGTCCAGAGGGTGCCAGATCAGGGAGGTCCAACTCCTACCCAAGTCCCCTACTTGCACCCTCCCTCGTAGCCAGACACCCTACCCCCAATCTGCTTCTGCTCCCTCCCCCTGGCCAGACACCTTACATCCAGCCTGCTTTTGCACCCTACCTACCACCCGGACCTTGACTCCTTCTGCCCCCCACCTCCTTCCCACATCCTGCACCCCATCCCTATCCCGCTCCTTGGCAGCCCTGCCATCCACCCTAGCACCGCTCTGGCCCCAGCACCTTGCCTCACACCCCAGGACTCAGCACCACCCTAGCCCTGGCCCCAGTACCCTGCCATCCACGCTAGCACCCAGCAGCACCCTGTTCCTTGTCCCAGCACTCTACCAGTCACCCTAGCGCCCAGCAGAACCATGTCCCTGACCCCAGCACCCTGCCACCTGCCTGCCCCAGCACCTTGTCCCAGCACCCCGCCACCTGAACCAGTATCCTTCCACCCGGCAGTACCCTCTTCCCAGCCCCAGCACCCACTAGCACTCTGTCCCCTACCCCCACCAGCACATTTGGAACCACATTAGTGAGGCTTGGGGGTTTTGGAGGAGTTATTTTGTTTTGGTTTTTTTGCATCTCACTTGTGTGGCCCCAACTGACTTTTCTTTGGGTCAGTGACCCTTGACTCAAAACAGGTTCCTCACCCCTCTCATATATAAAGACAATGCTAAAACCTTTTGAGTTTGACATAATATTTTATTTACAAATGAAGCCTGGCCAACAAGCCCCCAATTGGGACCAAACCCCCATTTCACTGCAGCATCATAACACTCCTCACTGATTGACCCCAAATCTGAGCCTATCATACACTGGAACCCCCTGTCCTGAGCCTCTTACACCCCCAAACTCCTGCATCCCCACATCCTCAATCTTCTGCCACAACATTCCTCCACCATCCACACATCACAAATCTGTGTACTGAGCCCATCATACTCACAACCTTCTTGCCCCGAGTCCCTCACATATCCAGCCCAAACTCCTGCACCCTCACATCCACAAGCCCTGGCTTGCTCAGCACCCCAACCATCCACCTGAGCCCAACACTCCCCAGCTTAGAGCCTCCTCCCTGAAACAACAGCCCCTTCTCCTGCATCCAAATTCCCTCCCAGCGCTTGTACTTCTCACCCCTTCCCACACCCAAATCCCTCATTCCCACTTCACACCTCCTTTCTCAACCTAGTGAGAGTGTATAAGGGCTGGGGATGGCAAGTGATGGAGAGGAGGGGAACGAGCGGATGAGGCCTCACGGAAAGAAGGTGGGAGTCTTGGGGAAGGAATGTGATTTTCATGAATTGGTGGGTTCCCCTCTCCTCCCCCCCCCTTTTTGCTTGACAAACCTAGGGGTTCCTTGAACTTCTGAAAAGCTGAAAAGGGTTTCTCGGCCAAATAAAATTGGGAAACACTGTGTTAAGGACTAGCTAAGCAGGACTCGAGTTTCACTACATAAACTGGGGTCCAAGGAGGACAGCAGCAGGAAAGGAAAAGGGAAAGGAAAACATGGAGAAAAGGAACAGCAAAAACAGGAGGAAAGACTTGGAAGAATAACTCACCTCCAAGACACAGCCTAAGACTAGAGCTGCCAGAACTCGTCCGCACAACTGTGACGTGCAGCAATCAGTGTCCAGAGAGATTGACCTTGCTTGGCCAACAGGGGAAATTTGCCTACCTTTATCAGGATTGGTGAGCATGGCACTGTATGCTTAGCATGCACATTCTGCTTGTTTGGTAATTACCAATAAATAGAAAATAAAGATATTACTGTGTAAGGCTCTTTCAGTGACCAAAGATCCTGCAGACCCACAGGAAGTTATGCCCTGAGCCCTAGGAATTGGGTAAGGGTGAGCGTCCCTAAAGTGTGGGAGGGATAAAGAAATTGGTGGACGTAACACCCTAGCACCGTCTTCAGTGCCGCCTTCCCCCAAACCCGCACAGGAAGGTGGCAGGGGAGGCTGCTGCAAAGCAGCTTGTTTGCAGCAGCCTGCCCTGGCCGAAGCTGCTTTGTCCCCAGACAGCCCAGCTGCCATGAACAGAGGCTGCTCTGGCAGCAGCCCCTGTCTGTGGGGTGTCCCAGATCCCCAGTGGGACCCCCTGCGGACAGGGGCTGCTGGACCCGGAGTGAGCAGGGACTGCGGATGCCTTCCCTTAACTACACGATTAGTGGATTATCCACCTCTTAACATCCTTACTATGGATCTCACGTATGCCTATAGTAACATGCAGTGCATCTCACCCAGCGCATCACATGTCCCAACAAAACTTATTTTTGTGAAACTAAACAACTGCTACACTTCTGAATGAACTCAGACACAAAATTCATAAAAGACAAAAAACAATGCAACTCTTGTGGACAAATATTGTTTTTGAAATGATTACTTCATATCTGTCCTCGGAGCACTCATACTCAAAGGGAACCATGCACACCACCTTACAAACATGAGCCTGAAACACTAATGTAAAATATGTCAGACCTTCTTTATAAATCATAAAGAAACAGAAATGGGCACAAGTCAATATTTTTTCATTCGTATTCATCTCTACTATTAACAAAATGTTTTAGTAATTTATGCTTCTTAGAAATTAAATGCAATGATCAGAATCTCACATACTACATTGGAGCTCTCCTTTCGTTTAAGACTGTCTCATGTAGAGTTCTGAGCGCTCCTGAAGTTCACCAATCTCCGAGTTTGGTTCAGTACATAGAGGAAAAGAATGAGTAACAAATTCTGGGTTTGGATTCCCTCAATTTGGAAGTCAGGGGATTTTCTAATCTGGGATTTTGAAGCAGCCCCATTTCTACTTTCAACTGACCCAACAGTAAATTGAAACTCACAGATTTGTTAGTTGTTGGTCTATGCAAGGAAATATCTCGAACAGCACCATCAGCCATCCTTCCTACATCTTCAAGAAAACAATAATCTGAATATACACAGAACAGAAAGAGAAGTTCAATGCTAGTTTAAAAAACAAAAACAAACAAAAAAAAGGTGGTGCGAAATTTACATAATTGAGAATTTTTACCACTTAGGAGATTCAACTCGCTAAACTCATTTATGGAGACAAATGCTGCCTTATCTCTGATTCCATTACAACTCAGTGCAGTTTTGTGCTTCTTTACACACACCAAACTGAAAGAAAAGAGAAATATAAGTACCCCATCTCCACACAAGAAACAAGAGACATAATTCTGATTGTAGATACCTGCAGGAGTATTTCATGCACCGTGGACACTTATACTTTGCTTCCTCTCCACTACAGGTTTCACATCTGACAAAAAAAAAGTCACTTTTATTAAAGTTAGGAATGTGAACGTGTACCCATGTACACAGTTAATTGATTATGCTGGGCTCACTGGTTAATAAGCGCAATTTCACACACAGCCCCACAGAGGCAGTGTGGGGGAGGAAGGTGAGATGGAGCTGGCTTTGGAACCCCCTCCCAAACCCTGACCTTCCCCCCCACCACTACTGCCTCTGGTAAAGAGACAGGAGGGGAGAAGAGCTGGTGGCTGCTCCAGAGCCACCTCCGCCTGCCTATAAACTTGTAACCCCTGAAAAATTTTCCTTTTACATAAATGCATTTTAACAGCCCTAGTTTAAGCAGTGTGTTTGTGTTTGACAAGAACAGATGCTTTTGTACGTAAAAGATAGGCCTTCTCCAGGTTTTAACTCAGCACAGTTCATAATCCCAAGAAATAATCACTGAAACTTGAAAACAAAGGAAATGTGGACATCTCAAATCAACCAGCTGCTGCCAAACAGTTTTATAGGGCAAGCCACAGATCCGTCCAGGGGAAGATGTTCTAAGAAAGGAAGGGCAGTGAGGCACCAAAGCCCAGCTCCTCAACGATACTTAGATCCTCAACTCCCACCCCAAGGAGCCTAATCCCAAGAAATAATCACTGAAACTTGAAAACAAAGGAAATGTGGACATCTCAAATCAACCAGCTGCTGCCAAACAGTTTTATAGGGCAAGCCACAGATCCGTCCAGGGGAAGATGTTCTAAGAAAGGAAGGGCAGTGAGGCACCAAAGCCCAGCTCCTCAACGATACTTAGATCCTCAACTCCCACCCCAAGGAGCCT